TCCATGCTACAGCAGGAGTCCAGGGAAGACTAAACAAGATGTTATGAGAGAAAGCTGAAGAAGTGGATCAAGTTGGAGCATTCTGACATTTGCAGGGTGTGTGGTCTTCAGCAAATCAGTTTGCCTCTCTGGACACTGGGTTATCCATCTATAGAACAAGGAGATAGACTTCTATTCCTGACTCCTCTGATATTGTGGTTTATAATTATTGCTGAATGTCTGCATGTCTCCACAAGCAGAGAGAGGATCGTGGGGGAAACACCTCCTGCCAGAGCAAAGCTTTCCACAACTGTCCTTGTCTGGATCCTTTCCTGCCTGACATGCCCACCACTTCTACCCCCATTAGGAAATGTTCCTTCTAGGTCAGAATTCAGTATCTAGGGATACTGAACAAAAAGTCCCCATACACCTGGTACCTACTGCCATTTTGCAAGAGAGTAATTGTTCATTCTGAATGCTGGCCCTATCTCCTTGATTAGGACAAAACACAAGTGATCCTGCCAGCTATTGGAATACAAAGAGCATCCCTGTTGAGACAGTGACTTGTCCCAGACCAAGGACACCATGTGGTCAGAGTCCCTCTCAGAGGAGGAGATGCTTTTCAGATTCTGACAGAGACTTTCCTAGACCAAACTTGAGTCAAGCTCCTCTGAGTTCTCTTTCTGACCTGGTCCTGATCTTGGGATCTGTCCTTGGCCCATTTAGAAAGAATCTGCCAGATTAGTTAGTAAAAATCCCTAAGCATTGGTATCTGATCCCCCTGGCCTACCTGTTTAGCTGGCCTAGCAGGAAGCCCCTGGTCTCAGCATTTTCTCTTAGTCCTTTTCCATTCATTGAGCCCGCCATGCTGCTCCTTGGCTATAAATCTCCACTTGTCCTTGTTGTATTCAGAGTTGAGCCCAATCTTTCTTCCCCACTGCAAACTCCATTGTGGTGATGTCTTCTTGAATAAAGTCTCCCTTACTGTCTTTAACAAATACTGTAAATTCTTTTCCTTAAAAATTCTCAAGGTGGTGAACCATATGCTGCTGCAAGCCCAGGTGTCCAGGCCAGGACCAATCTCCCAATCAGGGGTGAGGGATCCCTTCAAACCAGCCCTCTGATAAGTTAGGCCCAGGCCCTTGGTCTTTAGTCGATCCAGGGAAGGTCCAGTTTTACCTCCCCCGTGAGGTCTAGGAACAGTCCAGCAGCAGCCAAGAGAAATGTAATTTGTATTTATAACTTGTTGTTTTTTTCGGTCTGTCCCCCTTTCTCTGTTCAGCACTCTCTCCTCAGCACCTGGCCTTCTGCCTGGTACTCTGCATCTCAATAAATACCTGCTGAATTAATGAAAGAATGAAGGCAACTGCAGAGAGGGAGAAATGAAAGAAATGTGGTGCCTTTTGGCCCCAGTCTTGGCTTCCTTTTCAGAGGCCTTAGAGGAAACAAAGACGCCCTTGTCCAGGCCCCTCCTCCCTCCATTGTTGTCTTCTGAATCCTGTGTCATAGGGGGTGATGGAAATGTGCCCCTTTGTTCTGCTTCCCCAATTCCTCTCCACTGTGGGGAGGCCTGGCAGCTGCTGCCTCCTTCCTCAGCCACTTCTTCCTAATCCTGAGGGTCTTGCCAAAACTTTGGACCTTTGTGGCATGCGACTCTCTCTAAGAGGACCTTCAGCAATCAGGTTCGCTCAGCTATAAGGGCTGCCAAGGGAAGGATGCCTGTATACCCTCCTCCCTGCAAACTCCCCAGCAATGTCCTCAGGGCCTAGCACACAACATTCAAACAAACTAGGAAATTTGAAGTGGGAACTCCAACCAGCACCACAGGCCTGGGTCAAGAATTTTTTTTCCTACTCCCTGATGAGAACATGTTCAGAAAATGAGGGCGTTATTAAATGTTAATTTGGCAAGGCAGTTTTATGACTGTTCAATCTAATAATTTTAAAAGGGTCTGAATGAGTTAGGAAGCCATGAAATGACAAGGAAGAAACTTAGAGGTCTACTACTCAGGGAAAGAAGCCAATCTGAAGAGGCTACATGCTGTGTGGCTCCAACATTGTGACATTTTGGAGAAGACAAAACTATGAACATGGTAAAAAGATCATTGATTGCCAAGAGTTGGGGTGAGAAAAGGATGAACGTGGGGGTATAGAGGATTTTTAGGGCACAGAAACTATGCTGTACAATAATATAATGGTCGGATTTTGTCATTATACATTTATCCAAACCCATAGAACATACAATACCTAGAGTGAACCCTCATGTAAACCCTGGACTTTGAGTGAAGATGATGTGTCAATGTCGACTGATCAACTGTAATAAAAATACCACTTTGGTAGGAGACTAATAGTCAGGGATGCTAATTTCTGTATTTTCTGGGCAAATTTGCTGTGAACCTAAAACTGCTCTAAAAAAAATAAAATCTATTTAATAATATGGGGTAATATTTTGTATGACTTTTTTTCTGACTATGAAACTCATTTCCCTGGTCAGTCAGTGATCTGGACTGAATGTCCCCTCCAATTCATATATTAAAGACTTCATCCCGTGTGTGATGGTTTTGGAGGTAGGACCTTGGAGAAGTAATTAGGTTTAGATGAGGTCATGAGAGTGGGGCCCCCATGACAGGATTGGTGCCTTTACAAGAAGATGAAGAGACCAGCACTCTTTCTCCCTACTGTGAAGACAGAGCAGGAGTTGTCACAAGCCAAGAAGAGAGTCTACCAGACACCAACTCTGCTGGCAGGCATCCAGGATGTCCAGGCTTTCAAAATTAGGAGCAATAAAGGTTTCTGGGGGTAGAGTGACTAACAAATGTCTAGTTCTTTTGGTAAATATGGGCAGTCTCAGGCAGTCACAAGCCATGGGCCCCTACCCCAAACTTCACCACCTTGTGGGTCCAAAGAAAGAAAAATCAGGCCTCCCAGTGGCGCAGGGGTTAAAGTCTCTGTGCTATCAAGCTGCGGCATGACTTCGATTCCCAGCCAGGGAGCTGAACCACATGGCACAGCAGGCCTCTCCTGTCTCGCCTACTGCTCCCGCCACCAGTGTATTTCAGTAGATCCACCTGTTCTGCTCCCCACTGTGTCTCTGGTGAATCCTCTCACCCTTCTGCACCTCTGGTCTACACCCCAGTTCTTGTATGCAAAAATAAATAAAAAAGAAATCTTTAAAAAGAAATAAAGAAAAATCTTGGGTCAATTCTGCCAGCCAGACACAGACTCATTAGCAAGTGTGCCCAAAATAGATTGGAATTGCACTCTCAGACACTAGCATGAAAAGTTAAAGCAGCTATGACAAGATGTCCTGGTCTGTCAGATGACAGTCTCACAAAGTGGGGACTAGGTTCCAACTCCTCACTGGCTCAGAGGGAACAGTGAGTATCCATGCTACCTGGAGCCACAGATCTTGAACATCACTTACACCCCAGAGAAAATTTATGTCAATTACCCTTGATGTGAATTAATCAACCCTCTGGTGTAATTTTAATAACTACATTTGAAATGCTTTGTCATCACCTCTGGACTATGGGTTCCCAAGGTGAGTGCTGCCTCCCTGCACACATTCAGTTAGGTAAGCAGATGCTACCACATCACTAATACCTAAGTTTTTCCAAGCATATTAAACCCAAACAAGACTAACAGGGAGATGAATGGCAAACATATCTATATATTGTATTATATATTATAACATACATTGTAATATTTAACTTTCACTTTAATATTGCTTAAAGTCTGAAAATCAAGAACAAAGTTAACAGGTTTCACCAGTACCTTCAGATGCTGCATTACATGGGGCATTCCCTGGGCTGCAGGAAAGCTCCTCCTGACATGTGTCAAGTGATGCCTCAGTTTTGTGTTCCCTCCTCCACTTGCATTGTTGCAGGCCATTCCCCTTCCTTAGGATGGCCGAAACCATCTCTGTGATTGTTCCAGAAGGCTAGAAGCAGACACTACCGGCGTTTGTGGTATGGTGCGACCTGCGGTGGAGGTGAGTAGTAAGGAGCTCTGAAGAGAAAATGAAGGCGTCACAGCTGGGGGGGTGGGGAGGGGTAATGGCTGCCCACTGTAGCGGGGATCAGAAGCCCAGAAGAAAAAGGGCAGGCCACACCCAGTGGGTAAGACCAGTCCCTTCTCTCCTGGGCCCTGGGGAGGTGCAAACTGGTAGACAGACACTCCTACCCTCGCTTTCAAACACTAGGTTGGGACAAATAAAGCAGAAAAGGAGGGTGGCCAGTAGACTGGGCTATGTGGGAGGTCTGGGGGGTCAAAGAGCCTGGGTGAGGCACAGGACTTGTGACACAGTGAAGATTCTCACAGAGGCTAGGGGCTGGCCCTAGGGCAGTCCCCAGGGTATAGCTGTGAGGCCACAGCCAGAGAAACGGAGACGTCATTGCCACACCTGGGGAATTCAGCACATGGGGATGGGTGGGTGAGGAGAGAGAAAATGTCATTCTGAGATGCCCCGGCAAGCCTCCTTGGCAAGCACAGCTCCCCCCAGGGAAGTGGCCAGACCCTGGCTGTTTACAGCCCCCCAGCTCACCCTCATTTCAGGTATGGGTCCACAGCCCTCTTTGTACCCAGCTCAGCACCTCCTAAGCACCTCTGTACCTCCACATTGTCTTTCCCTTCTCTTTCCTGCACCCACCCCAATTCCCTCTCTGCCCCTGTTTATTAGTTTGGAGCCACTGACTCCATGCTTACGTGAGCTGAGCCAGAAGCCTTAGCAACCAGTTTCTCACAGAAGCATGACATGGCAAGCCAGCACTGTTTGGGAGGTCAGCCCTTGGGTGTAAACAGCATCAATACACTGAACTTGTGGGTGACCTTGGGCAAGTTACTGAACCTCATCTAAAACATGGGGATAAAAACAGCTCCTTCCGCAGCTCCTCTAAGATATCTCACCATTGGCACAGATCTCAGCCCAGGGTCCCTCTGACCGCTTCACTCATCTGGGCTGTGGTCACAGCTGCCTCCAGTGCTAAAGGCATTGGCTTTTCCTCCATCTGGAGCATCCCCCAGACCCTCAAAGTCAAGTCCAATTCAAATGTCATTTCCTCAAAGAACCCTTCTCTAATCACCCTCTTCCTTCTTAGCACTAATTGCCTATCTATAAAGGCTTAACTGATTATTGCTCAGGTCCCACTGGAAGGCAGTTCCACTTTGTCAAACCCTGGCTGAAAGATGGAAGAACAATGAAGAACACAGGGTGCAGGGGTGACGCTTTGGAGATTAAGCTGGCTTGGTGGCTGCCCAGACCTGACCACCACTGCTCCCTTTGTAGGTAAGACCCAGACACCCATGCAAAAAGAAATGTTGCACACCCGCCCAAATGGCCAAAGTAAACATTTTTATTCTCCGTTATGCCTTGGTCATTTCTAATTTTACAAGAATGAATAAATGGAATCAACAAGAATGCTTTCCCTCAATGTCTTTCATTACAATTTGTCACTGAAAAAGTTTCCTGTTTTTCCTAAAGAGTGCACGATTTGAGGGTGATCCAAAATGAGGCTTGACGACTGCGGAACTTCAGAGTTAAACGTCCTGCTTCCATGCCAATTCTTCTCACTGAGCAGCAAAAGTCCATATAAAGAGCAGCCCAGCAGAAGTAGTCTTCCACTGAGGGAATGAACTCAAAAAGAGCCACAGGGGTGAGGTGAGCAGGGGATCATTAGCCCAGTTTCTGTCCCCGATGGGGCACATGACATGATAGAAGAGGGGGTGTCCAAAGACCGAAAGAGCCTAGAAGAACATCCTCATTCACCCAGGCACTCCCTCAGTCAACAGAAGGGGGCCAGAGACCAGAAACAAATGTTCTCTGGAGTGCCCCTGTTTCTGAAGAGTTCCCAGATGGGGGTCCCAATTCCCAGTCAGGAAGCTATAGGTGAGGAAGGGGGTCTGTCCCTCCAAGTGGCCTTTGCGTTCCAGGGCCCATCTTCCTTCCTTTCTGCTCCTGGGGCCGATGCGGAGCCTGCCCAGCAGATCACAGGACAGTCTCTCGGATGACACCGATGAGGCTATGTGGCCGCTCAGCCTCTGCACGTCGGGGCCTCCTCTCAGCTCTTGGTCTCCCCACGGTGACGAAGGTGCTCAGGTCTCCACAGCTCTGCAGGTGCAGCAGGCCAGGCTGTCTCCTCGTGGGCAGCATGTGGGCCCTGGAAGTGCTGGGCTGCACGGGGGCCATTATCTTTGGGAGAATAAAGAGGGTCGGGTGGTTAGACTTCACCAGATATGGGCCTCAGACCTGGTGCTTTCCCAAAGTGGAACTCACTTGGCATTGTAGATACCTTAAACATATTGCTTCTTTCCTAAGTTCTCAAAGAAATTCCCCAATTTTTCTACCTTTTCAAATGTAGACCTGCCAAACTTCATGGAACTGTCTAGTCCAACTTCTTGCTTTAATAGTTAACATTCTTCTCGTTACATTTTTCCAGCCTTCCTGTGGCCTAAGCCAGTGACTCGCCCTGTGTCTGCACAGAGCTGGCTGGGAAGGGAGTCTGAACGAAGCATGGACACCCAGAGCTCCCCCCACAGCCATTCTGACATGGGGCCTGGAATGGGGCTCCAGCATCTGCATTTTTAACAAAAATCCAGGTGAATGTGACGTACTTAAAAATTTGGTAACTACTGGTATGGGATCCAGTTAATAAAATATCAACTAAAGCCAAACATACTTCTAGTTCATCTGATAATCCTACAATAAAAAAGTAACAAACAACATAAAAATTAAGCCATTTTATTTGTAAAAACCTTTAAGAATGGTTCTACAGCTATATCTATTTCTATTTTATTTGCAATATAGCACATGAAAGTATATCATAGCATTACTTACTTGGCAAAAATAAGGAAAATTCCTCACTTAACTGGAACTGATGATGGAAAAACTCTCCAGCACATACTATTTTTTAAAAAGCACAATGACATCTATATGACCTATAATACTGTTAGCACCTTGGGAAAAACTCTTTATTACCATCCAATACCACAAAACAAGTATTGGGATGACTTTGTTTAATTAGTACCATTTTGAGATTTTATGGTCATTAAAAGGTTAATCTCTCCTGCCCCTCCGCCGCCATGGAAGTTAAGTTTTGCTAACATGCTATTATTATATTTGTCTTAAAGGTCTTATTATCTGATTCAAAAGAAAATTACAACATTTATAGATATTGACTATTGTTGACATGTTAGGTTAGGACAAGTGGTTTGACACTTGTACAAACAAATTTAAAAAATGGATCTAAGAATGCATTCCGGTAATACTAAAGTGAAAATGTGCGAAGCTGCACAGAGTCACAAATAAAAGCTCCCCTTTCCCTTGACCTTCTCTCTGGGAAGGATACAGCATTATGATACCTGGAAGACCCCTGCTGATGGCCAAGTCTATTCCAACAAACCCAGTACCTGAACTTTCATCCAGTCTGGACACAAATGCCTACCAAACATGTAATGATAGCATCAGTTGAACTGTAAGTGCTTGTTCTTTTTCACCACAGCAATTTTCCAATGAGTAAGACTCGGCAGAAAATCCAGATGAACTGCTTGGTGGGTGCTCCAGCTCTGACCTCACCTGGCTTCGCAGCCTTGAGAATGCTCCAAATACTTGCTCCCATTTATCAAGCTTTTAGGACTGGACAGAAGAAAGAAGGTAGGGAGCGACATCTGGTGCAGACCAAGGACATGAGGATGTAACAATCAGATGCACAGGCTACTAACTGGAGCCTGACCCAGGCCTACTGGCTGCTCCCTGTCATAGAAAGCAGACAAGAGAGCCCATGGTTCATGGCCCTCTTCATGCAAGTAATCACTCTTCTGCAATCTGTAATCCCTGAAGGACTGGGAGAGAATTTTGCTTCTGGCTACTATAAGCACAGGTCAGCAGGTGCAAAGGGGGGACAGAAAGGATAGTGAGAAGAGTCACTCTGTCTTAAAAACTTACCTAGGATCCTGTAAGTGGAAATGGCCCTGAGAACCAGCCCAACTCAAGAAGCATTCGCTGGACACCTAGTGTACACTGGGACAGCAAAGTGACACCTGCAAGCCTTCGTACAGACACCTATGCCAACCACCCCACATGTATGACGCAATGGAATAAATGCCTAAAAGGCAAGCACTTTTCAGTGAGGTGGATAATGAAAGCCCACCTCCAGTTCTCCTCAAAGGAAGTCCTATCTATTCAGAGACACAGGGGAGAGCGCGCCCCATCCAACCTTTCACTTCAAATGTGAGTATCTTGACCCTTCAATGGATTATGTTACATGCTCAATTTTATCTCTTCACTTGGATGACTTTGGTTTATGGCACTGCCTTGTAATTTTCAAAGGAAAAGGTGTTTGTTCCTTTAAGTCCTATCAGCTTAGGTATCTTGCCAAACTTTTCATGGGCATGTGAACAGCTCCCAGAACCTTGCCAGTATTAAAATTCTTGTATGTCCACCATTATCAAAAGGCTAAAAAACATCAGCCATCTCAACAGAAAATTTCACCTTAGAAACCAAACGCTGACTGTGCTCCACACCACCACGCCCTTGCTTTTACGCCCAACCTGCACACTTTTCTTTTTCTAGGCAAGCTTCCACATCCCTGAAAAATTGGTTTCTCTTCTTTTGGGTCAAGAACACTGTGGAAAAGTCACCACAACTGAAAGTAAAGTGTTCCAGCTTCCTTTCCCTTACTCTGCAGCCCTCCTAACCCCATGTCCCTTGAAGCAGTGACCAAGAACTTAGTGTGCCTTGGACAGGAAATCAGCTGTCTGCTTCAGCTGCCATGGAAATGAGTGATCTGACTCATGCCTGATGTTAATAATAAAACTACCTGTTCTAGGAAACTGGCACTTGTGATCGCTTCCTCCATGTGCTCCTCGTCGGACTTCAAAACGGATTTAATGTTTTCGACAAGTTCGTGGATGTCGGGGGTCATGCTGCAGGAGGACTGCTCCAGGAACCTGGCCACCAGCATCTTGGTGTCAATGTAAGATTTGTAATCTACTAATGACCTCGGTCTGCTTCGCGAAGCTCTGGACCGCAAGCCTCTCCTCAGGGTCACTGAAGCCAGATCCAGTCTTCCTTCTGTCTGAGTTGCTGCTTCACAGCTGAGCACAGGGGTGGCTGTGGACAGAAACAAACGACACATCCCATTGGCCAAGACCTGTGAATACACACCTGTCCTGAACAGCACAGGCCACTGAACTCAACGTGGAAAGCATCTGAAATACTGATAGCCATGCAGACTTTGCTTTTTATCTTGAAGGAAAAGGAAAAAAAAACCAACTATGATACAAAAATTATTCTCTATAGTTCCAATAGGATGGATCCTAAAACATTTTACTGTGCCACATAAAACACAACTCCTCAGGTCAGGACGGATGACAGAGAAGAGCATCCAGAATGCAGACTGTAATGGAGCAACAGTTTCACGACGTAATGACAAATAGATGGGGATGAATGGTGCAAGCAGAAAAAATATGGTTGACCAAGAAAGAATGTCCCCAGGGTGGAGAATGAGGGAGTTATTTAAAGAGAGGGACTGAGGAGAAACAAGACTTGTGCAATAAATGGAATGTTCTGTTCACTTTGACTGTACCTTTGTCCTAAACATCCTCAAGGGCATTGTACTGACTCATATTATCGATGCTCAGACCATGGCTGGGAGGTAGCTGTTATGACTATTACAGAAAGAACTATCTAGGTGCAGAAAAATTACACGTCACTCCAGAAGTCAATTGAGGCCTGGGAAATCCACAGGGTAATGAGCAGGCTCTAATTCCCAGGATCACCTACATCGGCAAGGGCGTAAATACAGGCAGAACATTCCTGAACCATCAGGTAGGTAAAGTGTTCATAAGCCAGCCAGCAGCTTTCAGTGTGCACAACACTGGAGATTTCAGTCTGCAAAGGCCTGATAAGCAGGAATTTAGATATTCAAGGGAGACAGGAAAAGGGGTGAGAGAACAGGTGGAGGGAGGAGAGCATTCTTTTTCCTCTGGAGAAACGAAGGCTTGAGGAGCTTTAGACAGGGGTTGGCGGCCGTGTGCATGTCCCAGCGAGCCGGAGTCTTCCAGAAACACTGACTATAGACACTCATGTGTGAAGACAGAGTCAGGGGCTACCCTCAGTCATTTGAAGGCAAGCTGGTCCCTCCCATGATAGAAGGCTCCAGGTAAACACAGGCCACTCTGGCCCCTGCAGCACTGCAAAATGGGAGGGGGTTCTGGAAAGACCTCACTAAGCTGTGTAGACAACTATGGTCCGGTGAAGCCTTCAGGGGGCCAGCTCGAGTCCTCAATTTGCCAGAAAGAGCAGAGGAGACCCATGGTGAAGACAGGCCTAGGGGTCTGAGGGGCCATGCTGCCGGCCTGGGTTGCAGAGGCACACTCGTCCCAAGCAGGACTCCTCCCCATTCAGAAGCTGCTGTCGAGACAAGAGGAGTGTTCTCTCTGGTTCCCACACGGTCAGTCCAGAGCTGCGGCAAACAACACAGGCTGTCAGGGACACAATGAGACTAACAAGGGGGAGACGCAGGGCTGGGGGAGCAAGGTGAGAGGGCTTGCAAAGTGGTATTTGCCTAGAGCTTGAGGAGCGCACAGGTCACCAACAGAAACCTGTGCTGGTGGGTTTCCAGAAGATTTTCATATTCTTCCTATTTCCTTTATGTTTTACAATTTTCTACAATGAAGAGATATTTGGAGATGTTCAGGTATTGATATATTTAGAAAAAAGGCTCAATGTTACTTAAATTTTTTTGGTTTAAATAATTTGAATAACGTCTGTACTCAAACTCAGAACAGGGAGGCAAGAGTTTCACTCTATCCAACATTCTTATAAAGGTCAGATTTAAATAATTCAATCTACTCAGACACAATATAAAAAGCTAAAGTTAAATGACAGAAAAGGGGTTTAAAAAAAACCACCACCACACCTCCTTGCCCTGTCCCTGTGTGCTTATTCCCACAGGATCATGGGCATCTAGGAATCAGGACCAGGTGTGCATTATTTTCTTCATGTCATACCTAGCATGGTATATGTGCAGCTATCAGCTTTGGAGGAGGATGATCTAAAAAGAAGAAACCCTACCAGCCTTAAAAGCTACAGGGAGGGGGCCTCCCCAGTGGTGCAGAGGTTGAGCACTCGGCTGCGAAACTGCCCACAGCCTCTGCAGCACCATGTTCGATCCCTGGCCGCCAGTGAGGGTCCCAACATGGCACGCAGACCTCTCCTGCCGTGCCCGCTGCTTCCCTCAGCAGTGTACTTCGTCAGTCTGCCTGTTCTGCTCCCTGCTCTGGCTCTGGTGAATTCTCTCACCCTCCCGCGCTTCTGACTGTACCCAGTGCTTGTATAAATAAATTAAAAAAAAAAAAAGTTAAAAAAAAAAAAGCTACAGGGAGGTACATTCTTAACGAGCATATAGAACTTGTTTTTCCAAGACCTCCCTGTCTCTCCAAGCTATCTCTTGCACGACAGGGCCTGGGGCTGAGCAGGATGGCCTGCTTTCACCTGGCACCTTTAAGCAAAGATGCAGGATGCTGTGTGACGAGCTCAGGGAGAGACTTCACCTCTCTCCGAGGAATGGTGGAGCACAGGGTCGCTCTTCGATCTCGTCCTCAGGGGCCGCAGGGCTCTCCGGCTTCTCATTGGGGGAGGCTGGCTTGAGTTGGGTGTTGATATGGATGAACTTTCTTCTCCAGGTGCATTAGGGATGTCTCCACCTGATTTTTGGTTTTTTTTAAAGAGAAACAAATTATTTCACCAGTTGCAACCTTCAAAACATTGGGCAGGAAACACCTGCTAGCCCAAACCTGCCAGAGGCAAGGGTAACACAGTCAGCTAGCAGCATTTGCTTAGGTTGCTGGCCCAGGGAGTTGTATGTCCCAGACTACGGGAAACCCTGCCTCTCCAAACCACCCGCCACACCTAAAACAAACCAACAAAAACTCTAAGTCCAAGAGCAAAATAAAGAAGCTGTGCCAAAACATCAGTTTTTTCTAAAGGTGCTTAGACTCTTCTCCAGTGAAGCCTCTGGTGCAGCACTGAAAGCAGCTAGCCATTTCAGAGTTACTGACAATTCAGGACCAGCCCTGTTGGGGAGGACCCGTGCATCTAAGAACTGGGGGCCTCTGACCAAAATGCAGGCCGCAGAGGGATCTGCAGGTGGGGCTGTGAAACATCCAGAAAGCTGGGGCCATGGTGTTATAAATCAGCAAAAACACTAGAATGGAATGACTTCTACTTAGGAAAATACAATCACACTATTTGTGAGCCCAAGCGCTATTCTGGAAAACTTTCTGAAGTAACAGAATCATAAACACATTTGGGGAACAACACTGCTGCATAATTCAAATTACAATAGAAGCTGCATAAGACAGAGCCCCGTCCTTCATGGTGCCACTGAAAAATCACCTTCATCTAAAATAGCTAAAAGTTGATCCATTATTTATTATCATTTGCAGCTTTGTCCTGGAGGACAACTCCCTGGGCCATCTAAAACCTCTTCAAAGAGAGAAAGCTGTAACAATATTCCCTTAAATTACAAGGCTTAATGTAAGCTGACTCTGGTATTTAATGCAGGCCGGAAATCAGAATTCACTACAGGTTAAGGCAGCATGACTCCGGCCCTAGGTTATAAATAACAATCTCACAGCAAATCACCCTACAATAAACAAAACTTTTTTTTCCTACCAGAAAGACTCATCTTATTTTAACGGGAGAAGGAAAATCAGATTGGAAAACACAGCAATGCTGAACTGAACTCTGTAATCCATTTCATAGGTCCTTAAGTATTCCAGTTATTCATGAAAGCCTCTAAGGATGTCTTTATTGCTTTTCCACATATTATCTCCCACTTGCAAATACTAATAGCTGATATGTTTGTACCTGTAAAGAAGGCTGTAGCTTGAACTATTTGCTCCAAGAATACCTGACCTCCAACAAAATATCATACAGATCATTTATTTTATCATGTTTTAGTCTACTGAGTCATGATGATGTGCTTATTACCTTGAGTCACCGGTGTGCAGATCAGTTCCAATGGGCTGGAAGCAGCTTCTGATCCTTCTGCCACTTGGAATCCAGATCCCTGCATCACAAGAGAAAAGAGGATTATTTGTTGATATTCAATGAAACCCTCACCTGGACACCAGCAAACTTCTTAAAAAGAGCTACAGGGCCAGTATCCCTGTTACTCCTTCTCCAGCATGCTGCTTTCCCTACTTGCCATCAATGTTCTAAAGAAGCTCTTAGGCCAGTACCTGCTGCCGGTCCGTCTGGCTCACCACAGCTTCATAGGGAGGCGGGGGGTCCAGAGGACAGAACACTTCTATACCTTTGATTCTCGCTCCGTAGATGTGCGGCAGTGGAATAACATCAGGACCAACCATCCTAGGAAAAGCACACTGACATCAGAAATTCTACAGACTGGTCACCTGATGGTAGTGGCTTCTGCATACTGGCCTTTGCCTCCAAAGGGTTAGCCACTGACAGAAGGGAAAACACAGTCTCCTGGGCCAGGAGAGGGAGAATAATCCAAGCTGCTTTCTGATGAAGCAGCCAGAGTTCCTTCGGCAAGTGATAAACATACAAGTGCAAAACCATCATTTCATTTAAATCTACTAGTCATAACACAAACATTAATCCTTATAGACAGAAAGCAGATTAGCAGTTGCCAGTAGCTGAGGGAAGAGACAAATGGGGGTGACTGCTTAATGTCCATGGGTTCTCCCAGGAGCTGAGGAAAATGCTTTAGAACTAGATGAAGGTGAGGGCTACAAGATTATTGTCAATGTAACAAATTCCTCTGAACAGTATACTCTCAAATGGTTCATTTCATGTTACGGGAATCTCTCTTTAATTAAATAAAGAATAATCTCTTGCCTGGGTTTCCCTAAAGTCTTGTAGAATGTCATGGTAGACATTCATCGTCTACCATAATGCCATAATGTCATGGTAGAAAATTACTCCTTGTTAAAGAAATATTTACTTGAAAGGATGGATTTTTCCCAAGAAATGAACATCAGAGCTCAGAGACAAAGCAGCACCTGCCAGCAGAATCTGCCAGCAGGGTGAGTTCCTAAAGTCCTTCAACAAACGCAAAGCACTTGCCAGAACAGTGGGTTCTGTCCGTTAGTGAGGGATCCTTCAGAGCAGAAAAAATAAAGTAGAAGTCACAAGATTTTCTGCCACTGTTCATAAAACATTACACACACTCTCACACAATCTGGATAATAAAGTGTCTTAATTTAAAAATAATAGTTAAAAATACATGGAAGACCAAAAAAGAAAAAGAAAATAAAACCTCTCTCAGCTTTTTCTTTATCTTTGTTCTGAAACAAAACTCTGATCCCTGGCTTGACCTAAAAGGGAAGGGAAACACCTAGCGCAGCAGTAACAGCACTTAGTGCCTAACAGGGTGCAGTATGGAGAGACCCCTGCAGGGTGACTAGTAGGGATCCTGGCAAAAGTTATCAAGAAAGGAATATTCTTCTCTTACAGCAGGACTTGCCCCGGGTTGCACTCCAACTGTCTCATCTAGCCAAAGCTATTTAAGATCTGTTATTACCAGGTGACTCCAGGAATCCAGATCCTTTCTAGACCTAATAGAAGACTTTCCTTACCAGCAAAGACAGCAGTTTTATTCAATAAGCGCTAGGGACTCCTGTTCCCTCCAGAGGGCGAGTCTACAATCCTTAATTACCACAACCCCCATAAGCCATTGTCCTAACACTTACATAGCCCTATATTTCCCCTTAGCCAACTCCCCATGAATTTCTTCTTTGCTTTGTCCCTACCTAGGGAGTAAATACCCCTACCCTGTTTGGTTTCCTGTTAGTTCTAGTGGCTTTTGCATAATTTATACCCCCAACCCAGATGCTACCTATATGTCCACAGAGAAGAGAGGGCTTGCTCAGAGCCAAGAGGTGAGGAGAAAGGATTTCTGCTCTAGATTATAAAGTACTATAGAATCTCAAGAAGGAAAATCAGGGGTATGCAAGGGCACAATGAATCTAAACTGACTGCAAACTGAATGGCTTCTATGGTGGTTATTCCAATGACCAGTGAAGCTTCATTTTGATGAAAGATGTTGCTGGAGTTGATGCATAAGTGTCTTTCCTAATGAGCAACTTCTTCTTTTATCTCTACAGTGCAATAAAGAACCCTTGGAGGGAAAGAGATCTGCTATCTCCTGCCAGGTTCTGTCCCAATGCCGTATGGCTCTCTACCATAACTATAGCATGGAATCACCTCAAAGGTTTTAAACGATGAGGGCTCCTGGCTCCCCCTCTAGAAGTTCTGCTATCTTTGCTTGTGGTGGGGCCCAGGCATATTGCCAGTGCTCCCGAGTGATTCCAGCACTGCCAGGACTGAGTACCACCGCATAAGGAAAGGAATGATGGTGGCTGAAATTAAAACCCTATTTTTCTGGAAAATATGATCAAATTTTTGTTAAGAAAGAGAGTCTTTAGAAAACTGCTGCCGGATAAGGTGGAGATGAATAGCTAAATGTTTCTTAAGAGTAAGACATATGCCAAGAACATTTTAAACTGTGAAACTGACAACGGAAGTCTAAGCTTTTATTTTTAGAAATATCTTTAATGCTCATTGTGTCTTAGATGTCCCCTTAGCAGCCATGTGACAATGCACAAGAAAGGAAACTGAGGCTCAGAAATAGCAAAAGCTCCACCCAGAGCCTCCCCTTTAGAGACACTAGAGTATGAACTCAATTTTTTCACAGTTTCCAAGAACCCTTCACTGGGAGAGGGTGTGAAAGCAACGATACCCTTGGAAGAAAGAAGACACGATTTGACCTAAAATACATACCTAGAGCACTAGGTCCTATCTTCAGTGGGTAAACACCCTATTTTCCTGAAATGATACCAATATAGAGTGTAGTCCATTTCCTTTTAAAAATGGTTCCATTTATTTACCCTTAGATACATATTCTTTCAAAGGTATTTTAACATTTGACCAGCTTTTCTAGATTCTCTTTATAGATGCCAGTTTATTTAACCCCAATTGCTCCTTGTCTTTCTTGTAAGTAGGCAGGCCAAAATATGAACGGAATATTAATTTTGTTACTATTTCCACAACCATTTATATTGAGTTTTCATACAATAGCGGCTTCCCATTTCCTGTAAGGTATTATAACCTCTCAGAAGAGATTTCTCTAACTCCTATAAATACAACCACTTCAAGCATTGCTATCTCCTTGAGAAAGGGCTTCTCAAGTTACAGTCATCCAAAGAAGCCTGACTGCAGGCAAGATGGGCTATCAGGAGGGGGAGAGGGAAGGCAAATGGGAGAGATGAGAACAGGGTGGGGATGAGAGCACAGTGGACTATGATGGAGGATGGTGGGTGCTTCGGTGGTGGGACAGCTTCTGTGACCACACCCGAGGGGAGAAATCCTATACTGTCAAAATATTAACAAGAACGTAAAACAATGGTACTTCATTAAAAAAAAATGGGTTATCTTTTCTGTGATGGATTTGTAAGTGCAGGAGGGGGCTGCACTTACGACTACTCCAGGAGTCCCCCATTCTCAGAAACTGACTAGAGTGAGCAGTCAAGAACACACCTGTAGCTGGACCTGGTTCTCCTAATGGGGTTGTTACATGTTACATAAAACTGAAGATTGAGGGAGTGGGAAGCAGGATGACCTGGGCATTTCTTAAAGGTGAAGACACCTTAAGCCTACATACTAAGCCTACACCTTAAGCCTACATATTTCCTTCCCTAATAGATTTCAAAACCAAACTCAAGTAGCTGAACAGTGCTCAGCTGGGGGGTTGAGCTCCCCAGACATTCACATATAGCAATCCTCCCAGCATGTACCACAGAAAGGGCATAGCTTTTGGGCCTCCCTGGTGGTGCAAGGGGTTAAATCTCAGCACTGTGAAGCTATCTGCAGCCACTGCAGCATGAGTTCAATCCCTGGCCAGGGAGCTACCCACATGGTGCAGCAGACCTCTCCTGACTTGCCTGCTGCTCCCCTCAGCAGTGTATTTCAGTGGATCTACCTGTTCTGCTCCCCACTCTGTCTCTGGTGAGTGCTCTCACCTACCCCCCAACCCCACCTCTGGACTATACTCCAGCTCTTGTATGCATACTCCCCTCTTTAAAAAAAAAAAGGGGGGGCACAGCTTTTCCAGTACTCAGAGGAGGGTCATTCTTTGGTCAACAGCATATTAATTGCTGCATCACCCTTGGATAAGTTTTCAGAGTCTATTTGTAACATCAAAGGAGAACATGTTTTGCACGATCTGTTTGGGTTCTTTATCTTCAGTGCTCATGATGGGTGTTCTCATGGAGGAGCAGACAAGAGAAAGGAAGGAGAGTATAAGGCAGGTGGGAGGGGGCGGCTGCCAGGCACACTGCTGGACAGCACGACTCCTAACCCTCATGAGTCACTTTCCCTTTCTGCTACTGCAGGAAATTAAATCTGTCTGTTGCCTCTTGTGTCACGCTAGCACACAACCTCAGAGAGCCAAGGGAGTCTTCTTAAAGAGGCCATCTCTCTTCCCAACCGTGAAATTTAACAGACATTTTTATTGTCCTCCAACAAGCCCTCTTTAGACAACAGACTGGACTACATTTTACTACATGGCCTGAGGTACACAAAGAATATGTGTTTTGCTCTATATCTCTCTAGCCTGCAGTTCTTGCCTCATTTCCCACAAGATTAGGACTCCAGGCCGTTTGTCCACCCAGCTTTGTGGTCTTCTTGCCCTCCACGTTGGTGGGAGGCTGAGGATGGGGTGAAGGTATGACCATATATGAGGTAAAAGTCAGAAAGACAACTCACTGAAAAGAACATTAATAGCATCTGGGTGGTAGTTCCCACTACTGACCTGTTTCAAAATCATATAAGATTGCCCTGTGCACTAAAAATGGGTTTCCAAAAACGCCAAGCCTGGCACCAAATTTGTTTGACGACTTTCCTCGTATACTACAAGGATTAAAAAATAGAAAATCCTGGCCCTCAAAATACCAAGCTAAAGTTACTAGGCTTTCTGTAGAATTTGGTGATTTTCTTTTGGAAGCTTAAATGCAGATTTTCTATCATTTAAATTCAGTTAAAAATCACTGCATCCAAGAAGGCAAGTCTGACTGGCTGACTCTTCCTTCAAGCTCCCTGAAGTCCACTCACCATTCTCGGTTAGGTGGTCCTCCTCTATATACTTAAAAATCTCTCTTCTGAGTACTACTGTGATCCTTCCAATACCTGTTTTTAACTACCTAGATTGTGAGCTCCTTGCTAGGGGGAGAAGGCAAGTCTAACTCATTTTAAATTTCAATAATCCAGCACAGGGGGACTAGTAAACAGCAGAGGATTATTAAATGTTTGTTGAATGAATAAATTAAGTCATTATTTACAGAAGTATAATTCTAAAAGTTGCTAACAACTGGACAAACACATTTCATCCTACAAATAATAATTCCTGAGATTTTGAAAAATGATCAAATTTTGAGATGAATTTGCAAAGGAAAACAAGCATTTGCCTTTTTATTTTTTTTAGGCCAAGGAGATGTAATTAATAATTAATCTTTTTTTAATGGCTGGGAAAGATTTCATGATTTGGGGACTTGGTGATGGTGTCATAATGAACATTGATTTGGCCAAACAGACCATTTCCAGGGCAACAGCAACTCTCAATCATGTCAAATTACAGCAGTTATCTCACTAGTGTCAATTTTCTCTAGGAAGCTAATTGAAATCGAAAAATTATATCCTTAGGTCAAGGATTGACTCTTCTTTGGTTTCATGCAGCTTACCAGCCCAAAAAAAAAAAAAGAAAAGAAAAGAAAGAAAGAAAGAAAAAACCCAAGGAAAGAGAACAGAAAATCCTTAAAAATAACACAGTCCTTCAGATTTCTGAGAGAAGTCAGAGATCCTGCTGTCGGTTCTGGAGACCGCTCTCCAAACCTGAGAGCACCCCACCGAGAACAGGGGAGTTGAGGAGGATACCTGCGGTTCATCCGGGGCGTACATGAGTAAAACGTGGCGAAATAGGAAGGGGGCGGCGCCGGTGGCACGAAGTCATCAGGGTCTGGGAGACGACCATGCTCTTCCACTTCTTCGACAGAAATCTGGGATTCATCCTAATTAAACAGCACCTCATTTAGTCAACAGTCTTCACCACAAAGGCTCAGGGAGAAAAGCAAAGGATAACACAAAAGGCCCAGGGCAATTTCAGAGAAACACAGCGGTGGCAACACCTGCACGGACTTACAGTGCAGGATCTTCTGGCTGCAAAGATCTGGAGGTAGCGGAGGGCAGCTGCCACCAAGCAGACAGTGGTGGTCAGGGCATTCAAGGCACACAGGGCAAAAAGGACTTTCTGGAACAAGGAAACAATGGTGCCACTGAGTACTTCAAAGCAGATGATCAGACTGCATAAGCCTTTTTGGAATAACAGTACTATCCCAATAAGACAATTCTCCCGAGAAAATGCATACACGGCACTTAGATGATGTTTGGGTCACAGTAAGAGCCCAATAAATGTTTTCCATCATGGCTCTCATGCAATAGGGTGTACTTAATTTCTAAAACCTTTCTTAGAGGCTTCCTGGTCTTACAATATTTCTCTTGTGCAAGTATCAGACACTCTTCGGAAAGCCATGAGTTACTTTTCTGAAGTTGGTGCCCCCAGTGATAGCAATTGCCAGCCTTTGCCCTCTCAGAGCCTCCTACCAGGACAGCATGCTGCTTAATCTGTGACCACTCATTCTATTTCAGGAGTAACCAGCAGAGCTGCCCAGGCACCCTACTAGGAAAAGGCAGGGGGGCAGGCCGGAGAGAGTGTAAATAGGGCTTCTCTAAAAACACAGTTCAAAATAGCAGCAAAGGCAATGCCAAAACTTTCTATTGCAATAGTCCTGGCTCCTTAGAAGGGTTACCCCTAAGCTAAGTCTTGGCTCAGAAATTTTGGGGGTGACTCAGCTACCAAAAATCAAGAAATCAAAGAAGACAGTCATTTTTACATCCTGCATAATCCAGACAGCTGGCAGCTTCTCTCTACTTAAACATTCTTCCTCCCCACCCCAGACCAAAACCTAAAATAAAAACCTAAAGAAAGCCATCAATGTTCATCAGCTGATCTTGTCACTCACTGGGCTAATGGCACTTAAGTCTAAATATAATTTTTATCCAATTTCCCAATAAAAGTTAGTTTTGTATTTCTCTTCCACTGGGATAATTTGTTTTTAGTCTCTTGTGAATTATAGTTGCTGCCTATGAACAAGGGGTAATGTGATCGAATTTCTCTTATATTTCTGTGTCACGGAGCAGCAGTGCTCAACTACCCACATGTCTCACTGAAGTCAACAAAGGAGTGTCAGAACAATAATAAATGGGCCTGTGATTTAAAGGTTTTGCTAAAATCTGCATAGTGTATGCTATATCCTATGTGTATATACATGTATTTGGATGTATATGTATGTGTAAAAATGCACACACACACACACACGCTCCTATAATTTTTTCACTATTCTATAATTCTTGAACACAAAGTCATCCACTCATAAATTACGAGACACACAATCTGCACTCAATAATGTTTCTGGGCCACTGATAAGGGGTCACTTGTATTTGCTTTATTATTTTTTTGGCAGCATAACTGGTTGAGGGAAGTAACAGATTAGGACTATTTCAAGTAACTGCTTTCTTTGAGAGTTCTGTGGTGTATTTGTTGAAGGGGTGGAATGGAATCCATTCAACGTACCTTAAGCAGAAGGTGAACAGCACTACAAGGCTGAACAGGAAAGAGCTTCAAGGCATTTTCTTTGTCTGTACACTTGGCTGGTTGAAATTCTTCACAACAGAAACAAATCTTGCCTTCACCTAAGTCTACCTGAATGGGTAAAAAGCAGAAAAATAACTTAATTATTAAGAAAAATACACAAACTATACCTTGGCGGACCAATCCTACAGAACGAGATAGGGTTGGGAGCTATGGGAACATGTCAGCCAGAGTCGGTATCAGTCAGGATAGTTAGGGTATGCTCTGGTAACAACTAGTCCCACAATTTCAGTGGCTTAACGAACCAAGGTTTTTTCTTGAATATGCTACACGTCGATGGCAGGTGAGAAAAGGGCGCTACTCATCACTTTCCCTCAGGGTCCCAAGTGGCTGGAGCAACCACAATCTCAAAATTGATGGCCCTCCAGAGAGACTGGAGGGCACGTGATGCATGGCACACCGGCACATAAGGGAGAATGTACAATACCCACTGAAATTTGAATTCAGGTTTAAAAACAAGTCATTTTTCAGTATAAATGTTCCAAATGTTGCATGGGGTATGTTTACAGTAAAAAAAAAAATGCTTATTTTGAATTCAAGTTAAATTGGCTGTCCTCTATTTTCATTTGCTAAATCTGGTACCATAGCTTGAATACGCCGCTTGGAAAGGATATTCATCACTTTCACTCACAATTCATTGCCAAAGCAAATCAGACCCCCCAACTCAACTCCAAGATGGCACAGATGAAATGGCTAGTATTACCTTAATGGACAACAACATCTATCGGCACACCCTCACTTGATCTCTGTCCTTTCCTGCTTTGTCCACAGAGATGTTTTTCTTTACACCGCCCTCACACCTGGATCCAAACCCACCCTCTCCACAAAGGCACTAGGCTGTTTGTTTTTTAATTTTTCTTCCACCGTCTGACATTTTTGAAGGTAGATCCTACTGCTAATAATATCTGCACGCGATCGCTGCCTTCTAAAGGAGAACTGCTGTGGCTGTTCAGGCAGAATTCCTCCAGGCAGGTCATAGGCAAGTGGGAATTTATCTCCTCTCTCAGCATTCACTGGCTCCCTCTTTGCCACGCTCCCATAATAAATAATAGTCCTTACACTGTGTTAAATTCAGCAGGTAAATCCTTCCAGATTTCCACCTTTAAAATAACCAGCTGAGAACTTTCTGTTGAAATACTAACAGTGCTATTTAGTAGCAACAAATCAGCAGTTAAGGAGATGATACATCAGCCTCCACTCTGCTCGTGTCCACCATGACCTCTCCTCTCCAAACAGGAACCAAGCTCACTTTTTTCCACATGCAGCACAATTTGTATTTTGTGTCTTGTACAATACAAGCCTCCAGATCATACCTGAGGATTTTACCTCCCATGGGAAAGGTGAGGTATGAGCTCATGAAGTTCTCCCTTCCCACACAAGACAAGCCTGGGTTGTGTGGGCTGCGCACACATGGCTGCACTGGTCACACAACAACAGGCATCCTACCAGACAGACATCTCAACACTTGAGGCCTCCCTGGTGGCACAAGGGGTTAAGAAGCAGGACTATGAAGCTATCTGCAGCCTCTGCAGCACGAATTCGATCCCTGGCCAGGGAGCTACCCACATGGCGTAGCAGACCTCTCCTGACTTGCCCACTGCTCCCCTCTGCAGTGTATTTCAGTCAGTCTGCCTGTTCTGTTCCCCACTCTGTCTCTGGTGAATCCTCTCACCCCCACACTTCTGGCCTGTACCCCAGTTCTTGTATGCATAAATAAATAAATTTAAAAAAGAAATCTCAACTCCCTGTAATCTTTGGGGTGAGCCAGTCTGGATGACAAAATTTTCCAGATGGGTGAAGATTAATCCCTGTAACAAGATCATTTGAAAGTTTAATCACATACAAATGATAATGAGTCTCAATTACTCTGCCACTGTGCCTTCTGTGTTCCTGTCCTTCTTGTTCCTTATCCTTCACCTTTGTTCTTAATCCCATCTTAGCTCAATATTTCTAAAAACTTATTCCACCTTCTCATCAATATCTTTAGCTTATCCACAAACTTGTTCAAGTCTCCCTAATCCCAAATGAAAAAACATTCACCGGTCAGGTGTTATTATCACCTGACGCAATTCAGATTCTCTCCTGCCTCCACTATCAGCCCCAGCTGTGTTAGGATCTCCAGGTGAGCCTGCAAATAAATGACAATATCCTTAGCAACCAGAGAATTTCAAATTGACATAATGAGATTTACTTTAGCAACATCAGAAATTAGAGACAAACATTTGTTGGTAGAAGCCCTTTAGAAAGGGCACTAACTATTTATTTTAAATTAAAAATACTTATTCCCCAACCACTTTGGAAAACCATTCAGCAGTTTCTTATAACGTTAGACATACATTTACCACATGATTTAGCAATTTCATACCTACACAGTTACTCAAGAGAAATGAAAACAAGCCCACACACACACAAAAAAAAAACTATTCAAAAATGTTCACAATAACTTTGTTCATTATATTGAAAACAACCCAAATGTCTATCAATAGGAGAATGAATAAAACAAATTGTGGGTTTTTGTACAATGAAATACTGCTCTGCCAAAAAGGGGGGGGGGCGGCACTTGAAACAATGGCTATGACACAAAAACATGGATGAATCTCAAAACGATGTGCTGAGTAAAACAAGTCAGACACAAAAAGGTATATGCTTGGTTTCTAGCAATTCCTTTACTTTATTCATCATTCAAGATCCATCTCAAATACCTATATTCCAGCGTGCCTTTCTTCATCTTTTTTAAAAATAACTTTTTGAAACATTATAGTAGAACAGTAGTTCCAGGTGTGCATCATTATCAATCAACACTGTATATATACACTACATTGAATTCACCACTAAAAGTTCCATTCTAAACAAGGGGCATTTGTTACAGGACCCCTGCATCAAGAGCCTGCTTACCTAGTATTCCTGTTATTGAAGCTAATAGGAATCCCTCAGAGGCTTCCTGCTTTAAGGCAAGGGTTCCAGAACCAGCTGAAACCTGATGGTGACACAGACACAGATGGCAAAAGACTGACCCTGAAGTGACGTGGGTCTCATGAGCCTGCTAAAATGCACACCCCTGGGTAGAGAATGAAGATGCTAATGACATGAGCCAGTTATGAAGAAGCACACAACCTGTCTGGGCATGCCCAGTCTAGTCCAGTCCCAAACATTATAAAGCTGCTCCCAGATACCCCATCCTGGTCACCACCCACACAAAACCAGGACCCCCCCTGCCCTCAGGTCGAGTGTGGCTTAAAATACTTGCCACCTTTCTCCTATCAGTTGGTCCTCTTGAAAAATATAAAAATGAAAAATATAAGCCCCATTGTATTCTTCATTACATAGTTGGCCCCTTTTACTTGATGAACGCACCGCCCTCTCCCCCTTCCATTCTGGTAACAGCTAATTTTGGTCTTACAGTCTCAAAGTTTATTTTTGTTTTATTTTGTTCATTTCATTGGTTTCCCTATATACACATGAGTGAAATCAAGCAGTGTTTGTCTTTGTCTGACTTACTTCACTATGCAGAATACCCTCTAGGTCCATTCATGTTATCAAAAATGGCAGGATTTAATCTTTTTTTAATATAGTTGAGTAGTAGTCCTGTGTGTGTGTGTGTGTGTGTTCGTGTGTGTGAGAAAGAGAGAGAGAGAGAGAGAGAGAGGGAGATCTCCTTTATGCAGTCATCTGCCAATGGACACTGGCACTCACTCACATTACAGTCTAATTTCGCAGCTGGGTGTTTATGCATTCCCTTCACAAACACTCACCAGGCATTTGTCTTTCTAATCCTACTCCTAGAAAAAGCACATTGACATCAGAAGTTCTACAGACTGGCCACCTGATGGTAGTGGCTCCTGCATACTGGCTTTTGCCTCCAAAGGGATAGACACTGACAGAAGGGAAAACCACTCACTATCCATGCCACAGTCTTCTGGTTCAGAAGAGGGAGAATAATCCAAGCTGCTTTTTGATGGAGCAGCCCGAGTTCCTTCAGTAAGTGATAAACATACAAATGCAAAACCATCTAGGTCAAAAACAGTGTCTGACTTTTCTTTCTACTTCCTGCACCTTCTAACAAAGAGTCTTGCATATAATAGATGCTACAATTTTGTGATACTGTCTTGCAGTATATTATGACTTTCCACTACCTGCTCTTTGCCCCTTCTAATTTGCTGTGTCAGAGTACTTAGAAAATCAACCTTTGCACAAAATTATTTTCTAGGAACTCTCTATATTTAAAGAAGTCTGGGTGGAGGGGGGCTGAAGGAAACTCCCAAGATAATAGAGTCAGACATTGTCCTCAAGAAGATTTCAGCCCAGAAGAGAGAAGATGAGTATACAAATATCTTTAACTCCAAAAAGAACAGGATAAACGCTTAAGTGAACTACAGAGAGGAAATTCTGGAAGATTATCTTATCTGGAGTCAGAGACTATTTCCTGAAGAAGATAATATTTGAATGGGGCCTTAAAAGATTAGTATCATTTGGACAAACAGGGAAGTAAAGGGATAGGGATTTCTCAGGGAAAGACAACACTGTTAGATATAAGAAAGTAGGGCAGGAGCCTGGCTCAATTACATGGAGAGAGAGTGGCTGCAGTGAGAGGGCATAGTAAGACAGAGGGTCTTTAAATGCAAAAAGATTGTAAGCCTGTGATTATGTAACTTAAGGTTATTAAGCAAAAAAAAAAATTGTTTTGTAAAGAGTCATTAAGAAAAAGCAACAGATTTGTAGTGGGTCCCCATGGAGTTTTCCTATTTGGGAAGATCGTGAGCTTCAAGGGTTTTTATCACAGCTTTTTTTTTTTGTTTTCTATTGGTTTTGAAAGGGTGAGATTGCCATGTAACCAAATTCCACACACAGTTATCCTTGAACAACACAGGTCTGAATGACATGGGTCCCCTTACATGTAATTTTTTTTCTATGTGGGATTTTACATTCACGGATTCAACCAACCTTAGATGTGAGCTGGCTGAATCCAAAGATGCAGAACCTGTGTGTACAAGAGCCAACTCTAAGTTATACAAGGATTTTGGACTCCTCCAAGTGGGTGGCCCTAAGCCCTACTTGTTCACGGGTCAACTGTAGATAAGACTTACCATGACTTTTATTTTATTTTATTTTTTTAAGATTTATTTATTTACCATGACTTTTAAAGAGTTCACTTGTTTTGCTTGAGCCACAGGATGATAGTTATTACTGAGAAGTCCCTTTAAAAAGTTTAAAGATGGCCAGCAAGTCCTCTTTGTGGCATATATCCAAAAGAATTGACAGCAGGGTCCCAAAGAGATATTTGTATACCCATTTTCATGGCCATATTCATCACAATAGCCAAAAGGTGGAAGCAATACAAATATCCTTAAATGGATGCATGGGTAAGCAAGATGTGTCATACACCCGGGGAATGTAATCCAGCTTTTAAGAAGAAAGGAACCCCAACAGTACTACAAGTAGACATGTTGCAGACATATGCTAAGTGAAATATCAGTGAATAAAAAACAAATACAGTATGATTTCATTAATGGCAGAGCAGTCAAATTCACAGGAAATCAAAGGGAGATTGCCAAAGGCTGGGGAAGGAGACCGCTGTTATTTACTTTGTGCAGACTTTCAATTTTCAAGATGAAAACAGTCCTAGAGATTGGTTGTATAACAATGTGAATGTGCTTAATACCCTAAATGGATAGGATGTAAATTTTATGTTTTTTTACCACAATTAAAAATTAGCAAAGGGCCTCGCTGGTGGCGCAGGCGGTTGAGCAACGCATTTTGAAGCTGTCTGTAGCCTCTGCAGCACAGGTTCAATTCCGGCCAGCCGTGGAGAAACCCATGTGGCGCAGTAGACCTCTCCTGTCTGGCCCACTGCTCCCCTCAGCAGTGTATTTCGTCAGTATGTTCCCCGCTCTGTCTCTGGTAAATCCTCTCACCCTCCTGCATATCTGGCCTGTACCCTGGTGTAAGGGCAGGAAGGCCACTGAGCAGGTTTTCTGATCCAGCAGACCTGGTAAAGAAGGAGAGAGTCCTGGAGCCTCAGAGTCCTCGGTGGCTTTTGCAGGCTTTTATTGGGATTTACCAGGTACACAGCAGGCAGGGATACTGGGGGGCCGGGAGGTTGGCAGGCCTCCCAGTCCCCAGCAAGTCTTCATTCTATCTGGGCTCTCCAGTGTTCTCTCTGCTTCTCTCATGGTTCTTTACGCTTCTGCTTCTCTGGTTCTCTCTTGGCTTCCTCTCTGCCTGGCTTCTGTTGGCGTCCCCATGACGCCACCCTTAAAAGTCCAGTCTTAGTCCAGGTGAATCCCATCTACCTATGCCCACACCCTACTCCAGGTGCCCGCCATCAGGCATGCATTCAGGACCGCAGGGTTCTGTCATCTATCCTAATGGCGGGAGGGCAGAAAAGCCTGATACTTTGACCTTACCCTATACCCGGTTCTTGTATAAATAAATAAATCTTTAAAAAAAAATAGCAAATAAAAATAAACCAGAGATGGTATAGATCCACATCTTACCCACATTTCTGAAATCCAAGTTTCTGGAAACCAAAAGTTTTGACTACGGTCTGTGGCCAGACGCCACTGGAGTGCTACCAAATAAATAGTATATGCATCACTGTTTCTTGTGAAAAATCAGGAAAACTCTGGCTGCTAAGACACACCTGGCCTCCTAAGGTTTTGGATAAAGGATTGCTGACCTGTATTCTGATAATATCTTTTTCCTCCTTACATAACAGCAGACAGAATCTGTGGACACTGTTCCTTCACTCACTAACGATGCATGATATTATTGTGGTTCTGGGGGTATGCTGAGTGGTACCTGCTTTGGAAAAAAAAATCATCAACAACCTAACTAAGATAATTGGGAGGTAGTTCTTTGTGTAGTTTTCCTGCTTCCACCCCAGGAAAGGCAGACAGGCCGGAGTGGGTCAGGTGCACGATGTTTTAGAACCACTTACCAGGTCACACCTGGGCACACTGGACACAAACTGGGCCCCTTGGCAGCCAAGGATAAATCCAGCTAAATTTAAGAGGACACACACCACAGAGAGCAGAACGAAGAGATTTACCTGAAACAGGAAGAAAATAGGCAGTTGGAAAAAAAAGACAACATCTCAATTTGGAAATAGTTTTGCCGGAATAAAAAACTGATGTTCTCTTTCTAAAAGAAATGACTTTTTAAAGTCAGAACCATGTTTTTAATGCACATTTAATTTTTAGAATTTTTTAAATTATACTGAGGAATGCTACTGAGTCTCAAATCTTCTCAACAATTTCTAGTCCCTATTTTTTGCCCTCTCTTTGTAAGTAAGAGAGTTCTGTCTCCCTCCCCTTTCTCTGTACATTACATTAAAACATGCTATTTCCTCCTTAAGGCAAGGTTATTTTTTTCTGAGTTTTTCAGGATCAATGGTAAGTAAGTAAATGGAGAATTCTAGAATATAAGTGAAAACCATTAAAGGAAATCACAGTATAGAAGTGAAAACAAAGATGAGTCTTTTTCTCAGTTCCAAACAGACACAAAAAATAAAGTGCACAATAATCTTGCATGTCCTTCTCTCTAAAGTTAAGTATTAAATTACCCTAAATAATTATGAACTGACAGAAACCAACCATGAAGCCAGTACTCAGTGTAAATGAGAGACTCTGAAGACTTTTCAACTTGAGAACATGATTATCAAAATCAAAACTTATACAAGTACAAAATCAAATTAAAAAAAACTGAACCTAATGAAAGAATGGATAAAGAAATGTCACACACATACAATATTATTCAACCATAAAAAAGAAAAAAACTTGCTATTTGCAACAACATGGGTAGACCTTGTTGGCATTTTAAGTAAAATAGGACAGACAGAAAGACAAATACCATGATGCTCTCATTTATACTTTCATGTGGAACCTAACAACAAGAACAAATTCTTAGAGAACAGGCTGGTAGTTGTCAGAGGCACGGGGAAGGGATGGGCAAAATGGATAAAGGTGTTCAAAACTTCCTGTTCAAAAATAAATCTTGGGGATCTAATGTATATTATGGTGACTATGGTTAGTAACACTCTATTGTATATTTGTAAGTTGCTGAGAGTACATGTTAAAAGTTCTCATCACAAGAAAAAAAATGTGTAACTGTGTGGTGACAGGTGTTAACTACACCTGTATATATTTCACACTGTATGCAAACATTGAGTAATTATGTTGTACATCTAAAGCAAATACACGATATACTAATTATCTCTCAATTTAAAAAAGAAGATGATTAGTGATTAGCAGTTTTAGAACTAAACATCATTTCGGGTAACTGACATGTCAGAATTGACTGATGCATGAGGGCCTCCCTGGTGGTGCAAGAGGTTAAGATGCAACCTATGAAGCTACCCAAAGCCATTGTAGTACGAGTTCAATCCCCGACAGCCAGGGAGCAACCCACATGGCACAGCAGACCTCTCCTTACTTGCCTGCTGCTCCCCTCAGCAGTGTATTTCAGTCAATCTGCCTGTTGTGTTCCCCACTCTGTCTCTGGTGAATCCTCTCACCCCCTGCACCTCTGGCCTATACCCCAGTTCTTATAAGCATAAATAAATTTTAAAAAAAATTGACTGATGTATGAGCTCTAATAGAGAAAATGTATTCTTTATTGCTGGTATTCCAAGTCAAGCTTCTCCCCTGGCCCACATTATGAGTCAATATTTAATGTCACATGATACCCCTTTTCCTAAAAGGAATTCTTCCTTTCCAAGAGGAGTCTGCCTTCTCTCCCTTTTTGGTGAACATGTAAAATGACTATGCTGTCATAAAATCTATAGAAAAATACTGGTAGCAGCTGTCACTGTTTCTAAAGGACTTGAGCAGCATGTAGCCTATGCCCCTTCTTGCACTGTGTCATTCATGACTATGCCAAAGATTTTCTGGAATATGAAAATACATAATTGGCAAAGGACAGAACAAGGTCTTAGATGGACTACTTTTATTCACTGGCAATAGCTCCTCAAAGAGACTTAATATATCTGGATTCTTCACACCCAATTAAGCAATTATTGCTACTATGGAGAAGCAATATTGAATTTTCCTTGGAAATTTTCTTTTGATGCAGTATCCAATGACTTGAAAAGAAATAACAGTTATGGTTTTTATGCCCACCAGCACACTATTAATCTTCATTGCTAAAAATTAGCAGCATTAGATATAGAATGGATGAAGATTCATTTATCCTAGCACTGATTCCAAATATCTTCATTAAAAATCTTAAATCTAGCTCATCATAAGACAACATTAAGAAAATCAATAGGCAAACACAGGCTGGAAGAAACTATTTCACAGACATATTGAACAAAGAATCTTTGGCAAACCAAATTAAAAACTTGGCCAAAAGACTTGAACAGATATTTCACAGAAGAAGATAGAACAATGGTTAACAAGCACAAGAAAAGATGCTCAACATTAAACATCATGAATGAATGCCAATTAAAATCACAGTAATATCTCCCTCCACATCAAATTAAGAGTTAAAATTTAAAAGAGTGTCATCAGTAAGTATTTTTGAGGATGAGGAGTACATGGACTCTCGGACACTGCTTGTCCAGTACAAAATGGCACAACTACTTCAGAAAACTGTCAGTTTCTTAAAAAAAAAATTTTTTTAACTCCCATGCAAAAATTCAAATTATTTATGGAGATACTCTGCCTTCAACTCCATACTCCTGAAGTATGGGCTGTAGCATGTGACTGTCTTCCAAAGCACACAGTATGGAAGGGGAGGAAGTAATTTCCCCAGGGAGAAACCCGACAAGCACTACATCAACCAGGTGGCCAATGTTAGTATCACATTCACAGCATGTACCCTTGATATGTGGCAACAATAATTTTACTTCATCTCCAAACCCATGGTAACCTGGTCTAATCATGAGAAAAACATCAGGTAATCCCAGTTAAGGTACATATCTATCCAGCACTTCTCAAAGTCATCAAAAACAAGGAAAATGTGAGAAATTGTCACAGTTAAGGAGTATCTAAGGATGATGGCTGAATATAATGTGGTATCCTAGATAGGATCATGGACAAACTAAGAAAATCGAAGAGCACAGACTTTAGTTGATAATAATGTATCAATATGGTCATATGATCACATGTCCCACAGGGAAATTTCAGTCAACAGCTGACAGCACATAGAATGGTGGCCTTATAGCTAGCCTAGGTGTGCAGAAGGCCATGTAGGTTAGTGTAAGTACACCTGGTAGCATCTGCACAATAATTAAATGGTCTAATTGATATATTTCTCAGAATATATCCCCATCATTAAGCAACTCCTAACTGGTTTGGTTTGTTAATTGTAACAAATGTACCATACCAAAGACTCAAGTAGGAAAACTGGGTGTGTGGTACCTCTCTGTACTATCTTTGCAATATTTCTGCAAATCTAAAATTATTCCAGAATGAAAATTTTATTTTAAAAGCTACCAAGAAATTCTGGAAATACAGTTACTCTATGACCTGCAATTCTACTTGAGGAAGAGAACCAGAGAAATAAGTACTATTGTCAAAATAAGATTTATAAAAGATTTATTACAGTAGCTTTATTTATTCACATTAGACTCAAATATCCAATGAGAGAAATTAATAAGCAAATTGTGGCATATTCAAACAATGGAATACTTTCAGCAATAAAAAGCAACTATTAAGGGCCTCCCCGGTGGCGCAGCGGTTGAGCGCTGGGTTGCGAAGCTGCCTGCGGCCTCTGCGGCGCCGGTTCGATCCCCGGCTGCTCCCCAGCCACCGGAGGAGGATCCCACATGGTGCGCAGACCTCTCCTGCCACCCGCTGCTCCCCTCAGCAGTGTACTTTAGTCCTTCTGCCTGCTCTGCTCCCCACTCTGGCTCTGGTGAATTCTCTCACCCTCCCGCGCTTCTGACTGTACCCAGTGCATGTATAAACAAAACAAACAAACAAATATAATAAATAAATAAATAAAAACATGCCTCTATTAAAAAAATAAAAAATAAAAAATAAAAAAATAAAAAAATAAAAAAAAAGCAACTATTAACATGCAACATGAAGTTCAAAGGCATTACATTAAGCAAAATAAGTCAGATTTCTGCGTAATTTCAATTACATGAAAATCAAGAAAGACAAAATAATCATGGTGATACATATCGCAAGAGTGTTTGCCTGATATTTGGGGTAGGGGATATGGAGTGAGGAGATTGGGAAGAGACCTGAAAATTTTCTGGATTGATAAAAATGTTCTGCATTTTGTTTGGGGGATGGTGGCTATATGGGTGGATCCAACACTTAAAACTTAGTTAACAACATGTATGAGCTGGTATTTCACTATATATAAACTGTATTTGCTATATTAAAAAAAAAAGAAAAAGAAAATCCTTAGTCCAGCTGCAAGGTAAGAGTGTGAGATCAAACAGGGACAGGCGCCACCTCTAAAATGTCAGAACAATGACAAAATGAGAGTCACCCAGGGATTCACTGCCTGGTAAGCTTAGCTTCTCTCCTGCCCTGGAGGTGCTGCCAATGAAAAGTCAAAAGTTAAATCACCAGAACATCATGCATGCAAACCCCAGAATGAGGATCTGGGCCAAGGTACATGGGCTGTGTACAAAATGCCATGCACTGTTCCAATTTATTCCTGCATATGGCATTTTATTACTATCATAAAAAGTCCAGTCTAACTTAATTCACCTGAATCACTCTAGTGAAGACTCCTGTCATATCTATCAAACATAAATACATGAAGCATATATACTTCGGAGGTTGGATCGGGTTCAAGGGTATGAAAAATTGGATTTATGACTGACCCACTTAGGGTCTACAGGGGCCTTCTGGATGGACCCCTTTGACTTCAAACCTAATTATAATTATATGACTTCCAGGACTCAAATTTCCACCCAACTGTAACTAGATGCTGTCCTTTCAAACAGAAGACAGTAAAACATCAACTACTAATGAAGAACAACATAGCCCAAACCCACTCAGATATAGCTGGGAAGTGGAAGAATTTCTTATATTGCATCATTCTTGCCTTAAATATTCATTACAGGTGATCTGAGTTTCTCTTTGTGGA